CTAATCAGCTCACTGCTTACTCCATCGGCAGTGGAGTGGATATCGATATCCGAATCAAACCCTCATCCTATCATACTCATTGTCCTCCCTCATCCTCTTCCCCATCATCCTCATTCGTCCCTTGCCGACGTGCACGCGGCCCCCCTAGACAGCAATGCAAAAGCAAGCCCGCCCTGGCATCGAGCGAGACGCACCCGAAATAGTAGAACATACCGTACATAATCATCATTTGAGCAAGTGCTTTTTGCTCACAGAGACGCCCATGCCGTTGGTGGTGCTGGCTGCGGCCTGAGGCGGGCCGCCCTCCTGAACGTTCGGGTCGCTCTCCTCCTGCTTGTTCTCCTCGTCGTACTTGGCCGCCGCGGCCGCGGCGCCCATGAACGCGAACATGTTCTTGAGCTTCTTCGTTCCAGGCTTGGCGGGCGCCAGCTCAGCATCCATTGCTTTGCGCTTCAACGTCACCAGCTTGTCCAGTAGCACGAACTGCTTGGTATCTGACTTAGCAGGCGTCTCGCCACTCTCGCCACTATCGAACCGTGCCTCTTTCCCGACGACCCAGGGAATCAAGAACGGGATGTTGGTGAGGGTGCCTCCGCACTGCAGCTTCTCCGGCACGTCGAAGCTGAGCTCCTGCTTGATAGTCTGGACATTGACATCATCATCCTTCTTGGTGATCTCCACGCCCCAACCTGGAGTGTAGAACTCGCTGAGGACGTCTGTGCCCTTCTGCCCACTCAGGTACACAGGAACCTCAACTTGGGATTCATCTGAGTCCGTCTTCGTCTTGATGATCAGAGCTTTAATGCAAGGGCCTTGCTCTGCAAAACCGATGGCGCCTGTGATTGGGATCTTGATCGTTGGCAAAACATCTTTGTGGCACTGGATTGGAGGCTTCTTCTTGTTACTCACGTCAACGTGTAAGTGCGCGTACTCGTCCAGGGAGCTCTTGCTGTAAGTGATCTCGTCCACTTTGCATTGGAGAAAGCTGCCTAAAGTCCTCAGGAACGCCTGATTGAAGTACTCGGGCGAGATCTCGATCTTCGGAACTGGGCTCTGGGACTCCCGCTCCGTGTCCTTGCTACCCTCGTCGACGGACCCGCTCATCTTCTCATCGTCAGAGAACTGAAGCAAACCCTTGATAGACCACGCCCGGGGCGCTGACTGTGTTGTTGGTGGCTGCTCCATGTTATGATCCTCCGTGGGCTTCTTCTCCTCGGTCTTCTGCTCGCCTGTGGATGCAATGCCAGTGCTGGCACCCGACTCGGGAGCCGTAGATGGCTTGGTGGATGTCGAAGTTGAGCCCTGCGGCAAGATTTCCATCATCTTCTCCAAGGTCAAGGGCTCGGCGCCGTCCTCGCAACCTTTCCTGAGCAAGAATTGCAGGGACCACCAGCTCGAGGACTTGTGCGGACCGTCGATGGCCATGTCGAATGCCGAAACCTTCTCGGCCGCATCTTTGTATTTGGACAGGTACTTCTCGATCGACTCGACAAGCTCATGCGCTTTCTCTGCCGGGGATCCCTTGAGAGGGCCATCAACGCAAAGATCACGAATAATCCCAGTCATGTAGCGAACGCGGATGTTTGATAAGGCGTCGTAATTCTTCTGGTTCATGACGTCTCTCAGGAACGCTGGGATCTTAGCATTCGTCGCCACCGAGTTAGAAGCCTCACGCATGACAACTGCCCACCACTTACCGAAAATCCCGTAGACTTCGCCGATCACGATATCCCGGATGGTCAGCTCTGTGATCAGGTCTGACTTTACAGCCAGCTCAGCTTTCTCCCAGCATTTCTTCGCCACCGTAGTGAAGGCTGGCTGGAGACGATAAAATATAGATACGTCGTTGAAGGAGAGGAGCTTACCCAGGTCGTCAACGCAGGTTGTGAGGAGCATCGGGATCGAGGGGCCTGTCATGACGCCCTCCTCAGCGACAGATGGGTCAATCTCTGATGAGCCTGATGGTGACTCCTGAGTCCCCTCGTTCATCGCCAGCAGAGGGTCGGCCGCTTCGGTCGTGAAGAGCGACAAATGTGCAGCGTCCTTCATCTCCGAGCGAAGTGCCGACCACGTAGACACGCTCTTGCCATTGATCGTAGCTGAGCATGCCGTGAAACAGGATTCGATTGCAACAGAATACAATACCAACTTGATCTTAGTCATCTTGCTGCTCTTCATCTCGATGGTCACTTCTGGATGTTCGAAGACTGCGCTGATGCATTGGACTAGATCGTCCAGCCAGTACTTTGGGCGCGTGACTGTCCCGCCCTTCTCGATGGTGACGGTGGCAGTCAGCTGGATCTGCTCCTGCTGCTGAGCTGGAATGACCTGCGCCTGCTGGCCCTTGGACTTCTTCTTTGGGGCTGGTTTCGCCTTGGCGTTTGCAATCTTTCTGAGCGTGATCGACTCTCCCATCTCGGTCAGGAACAGCTTCATCTTCTCAGAGGGGTTCTCGCGGAGGCTCCATGGGACTGGCCGCGTCGAATATGGGCGAGCTCCAGCAGCGCCGGCGGCCGCGGACGCCGCGCAGGGGATCATGTGTTTCACCGTCTCCAGGAATATGATCCTCAGGTCAGCGTCCGCGATCGCGGACAGGAGATACTTGTCCAGCATGACGTTCAGCTCGCGCATGTTGCAAACGATGTCTACGTTCTTGATGCCGCCATCCTTGAAGTCGCACAGCTCACCCAACGTAAGCTTGAGGATGTCGAACATGTCGCGCTTCTTCAGGGAGCTGGTGAGCGACCTGCCCTTCTCGAAGACCTGCATGCATCCAAGTTTGCCGTCGTGGCCCTGCTCGCATATCCATTTCCAGCATTTCGATCGGATCGTTGGGTCAGTAGATGACATGCCATCCTTCAACATCTTCGCCTTCCAATCCGAGGCCAGGGCATCAATGAGATCCAGCAGTTGGTTGATCGTGAACGAAGAGCCGTTGTGGAAAGAATTGTGCCAGCCCCTCAGCCACGACACCACGTCGCAAGGGATGCGCTTGTGAAACACAGTGGCCCCGACGAGCCCCTGCTCCAGAGTCGCTCGCACGTCGGGGTGATCTGGGGACGTTTAAATGTGGCCACCTCTCCCTCTCTCTCTCTCTATCTCTCCTCCCTCCCCCCTCTCTTCCAATCGGATCCCTCCTCGCTGCCTGTCCCATTTCTCTCCCCTCTCCCCTCCTTCCTCCGCCCTTCCCTCTCTCCCTCCTCCTCCTTGACCCCTTGCCCTCTATCTTCCCCTCCTCCGAATCTCACCCAAAGGCTCAAACAGAAATCCTGGCTTGCGGGCCGCCGCGTTGTAGATGGCGCGGGTGAGGGTCCCGTAAGTAATCATTCTGTAAGGTGCTCCAACTCCTTCATTTGGGTTCAAGCGAACCCATGGAGCCCCACGCACCCCAACCACATTACCGTGATCCAACACCCGTTGAGTGTACTCTTCCTCAACTGCCAACTGAACGCGTCGGTTCTGCTCGTCCATGTCGAGCAGCTTGGAGCCGTCGTCCGCGAAGAACCTCAGGGTGACGTTCTGTTGAACGGCATACAGGCGAAACACTTACTGCTGTAAGCGAAGGCCCGATAATCCTGGAAAGCGTTCCGTGATAGAGGCCTTCTCCCCGAACATCTGATCCTCCACCATGGTATCACTCAAGGCTGAGGCGGCGCGGATCCTCAGGCTTAACACCTCAGCAATCGCACTCGTGCGCTCAAAGACTTGCGCACCAAATAGGCTATGGCCATGGTCGCGCCGACCCTAAGTCGAATCCAAGAGCCTGGGGGCCTCGAAGCGAACGTCGATTTCGATATGAGCACGACCGAGTGTACATCTTTGTTAAGTGGCCAGGGCCCCTTGAAGGCCATCCTACGTTTAAACTTACGCACCCCAGCCTCGAACAACATTTCACTAGGGGACCCCTTGAAGGAACCTCGCCTTACGAACACATTTCACTAGGGGGCCCATTGCAAGTGCGCTTTGAAAGTCTTCCACCAAAAGCCCTGATCATCTTCCAAACGGCCTAGCACTGGCACCCCAAGAATCCCAGGCATTGGCACCCCAAGAATCCTTAGCACCCCAAGAACCCCAACTTAATCTCAAGGAAGAGGGAGAAGCCCAATAAAGAGGAAGAGTAGGCAAAGGTGATAGGGGCAAAGCAGAGGACGGGAGGAGTGTAGTGGTAGGAGTGGACGGATGGAGGTCAGTTAGTTGCTATTCCTCGGTCTTGGCTCACCAAACCGATCTCATCTCCCTGGTACTTAACTCGTTGATGCACTGAAACATTCAACTGCGGCACAACAGGCTGTTGCCTGCCTGCCCTTCGGCCGCCCCGCTCGACGAAGGGCGCTAGCCGCTAGCCTGCAGCTCGTCGCCATGCTCCTCAGAGCACAAGCTTCCATCTGAAGAAGCAGTAACTGAAAGATAAACAGTCGATGACTCGTGACGCGATGGTCGGAACATCCTGGGAACTTAAACATCGCATTTGCATACAGCTGGATACCGAACCTCAAAAAAATGACAACATTCCACTACATGTCAATGGCAAACGACTGCTAGCAAAATCCCGCACAGCCTTGCGCCGTGCACCCAAAAGAGTCCCAACTGCAATAGAAAGAACCTGCTCCACTCACTGTTCATTGTAGATATTGTTCGCCCTCAGGTCCACCTTCAAGTCATGCGGCTTAGGGCCGCCAGGGAATTTTGTCCTCGAAGCGGGTGTCCAAGCGCACGACGAAGAGGAGCGCGAAGATCCAGTGCACTCCAGCGACGTTTGTGTTCATGGCGTTCCCCGCCTGATTCTTGACGATCTGATCCTTGCGCCGTCCGGGGGATCATGAAGCTGCTGGTGAAGCTTACATCATACCGACGCCTATCATTGAAAAACTGCGAGGGGACCGCAGGGCGAAGGTGGCCCGGCACCGCCTCGAGGGCGCGGACGAGCGTCGGCGTCGGGATGCCTTGCGCCGTGAGGAGCTCAGTCGGTGCCAGCCACCTACCATGCACTGACAATGCACTGACGAGTAGTCGATGGAGGTGTTCCTCAGGATCGTGTGTAGCACAGTGCTCGTAGATGAGATGCCACGGTCCGCCATAGGGTTCTGGTTCAGCTTGTGGACGTAGTCAGTGCCGTGGGTCATTCCCTCGTAGCGCTGCAGCCACTTCAGCTCGGTCGCAGTCAGGGCCTCTCGAAAATGCAGGAAAACTCCCGCGTGGTCTGTGTTCTCGATGTCCCTTTGGAACTCCTCAGCGATGTCCTTCGACTCAGGCCACAAAGACGACGGTCGGTTCGATGCCCACTGAAGCTCGCTGATCAGCTCCTCCTTCTCTGCGACCATGAAGACCCTCCACGTACTGCGGATCGGGCGATGGAACATGCTGATCACTGGGGCGAGGCGCGAGGTCACCGAGATGGCGAACTCGCGGTGGACAAGTACCGACCACCGACGCCGGCGCCTTACTGGCCAGCCCAGGGATGTAGGGCAGGTGATCTTGGAGAGGATGATGTATTTGTCCCCCAACACCTTATGCAATATTTGTGGATCGAAGAGGTGGGAGTTCTCGTGGATGATCACGATCGCCTCCTGCCGCCTCCGCTGCGTAGCCCATGCTGCGAACGCTCGAGTAGCCTTACCATTCTCGGCGCCACCATGGGCCCCGATGGGGGAATCATCGATGCAGGACGTGCCTGCCACGTGGATCGTGGAATCATTCATGGGGCATCCGCAACCACTTTGGTGCATCGTGCATGAAGCCGTCTTGCGAAGCACAGTGTGAGGCATCCTGATGTACGGCATCAGAGCGTTCAAGCCGATCTTCCCGCATTTGTTGAGATAGCGCTTCATCGAGTCGGTCCACCAATCCTCGACATCCTTGAATAAACACTGAGGCTCCATCGGGCTAGTGATGAGCTCGCTCCGCGAGTCCTTCAGGATATCGCACGCGTGGATATGCTCCGGCTTGATGTTTCCACAGGCTGTTGAACCTTCGAGTTGGGCCGCCAGCATGTGGAGCGCAACGCCTGGCGTATCGATTCCAGAGTAGCAGGTCGAATGCGTAGTCTTCCTCAGAGTGTTCGCTAGAGCTGTTGTGGTCCCTGGCTGGTACTCCTCCAGCCTGCTCAAGCAATGCATCGGCCAGTCCATCAACTCATACAATAATCCCTGGTTGGTAAGATCCATCCCACGAACCAGATCAGCAGTGTTGACGATGGAAGAAGCAGAGCTACCAGCTGGACTCAATGGGGCCTGCTCCTCCTCCAGCTGCGACGACGGCGGCAACGGTGGCACCACAACTGGTTTGTCCTGGAGATTATTTTTCCCATTGCTCGTGAACACGCAAGTACTGCCCAGGGATTCAACAACTCTTACAGGTTGCTTTTGACCAGGAAACCAAAACACGCAAACCGAATGCCGTTTGTTTACCTGAAGAGAAACGTAACACAGGAAAAGAGAAGCGTCCTGCTCCATGCCCGACTGCTCTGTGGTGCTACCAGCTGCAGCGCCTCCGTCTCCTAGTACCTCCTCTGCCTTGTTGCTCTTGGCGCTCTTAGCACTGGGGCATAACTCCTCACCGTCCAAGTCAACAGGGCGCTTCACCGGCAGCGCGAACGGGGCCGGGGCCGCCTCGACGAGCTCGGAGGGCTCAGGAGCAGGATCTGGTGATGTTGCAGCTTGGGCCATCTTCTTGAACAGATCTGCAGCACCCTTGTTGGCAATCGCAGCCTCCGACAGGTTGAAAGAGACCCACTGGTTCTTACCGTTGCACGGGATGATGCGTTCAGGCTTGATGGCCTCAACGTTATTGAAGTAGATTGTCCAAAGCTTCACCTCGCCAGACTTGCAAGGACTGCGTTGGCAAGATGATCAATCTGCTGGTCGCTCATGCGGTGGAACTGGTTTATGGCAGAGTCCTGGGCAGTAGGAGTCAACACGTTTGATCAGGCCTACTACATATCAACAGGGCTCAAAGAGGATGGCATTTCTGCCCTTATCTCTTCCTCGCCCACCCTTATCCGTATTGTTATCCTCATCCTTCTCCTCCTCCTCCTCCTTCTCCTCCTCCTCCTCGTCACTTCCTCCTCCTCCTCATCCTTCGGCCTCGGGGGACCTCCCGTCCGACCCTCGTCCCTCCTCCTCCCATCCTCGCCTCCACGTCTCAGCGTCGCACCTTTCATCCCAAGGTCCTTCAGGGCCCCGACAGCGCACGTCGATTGCCTCGCGAAGCGAGCCTTCCCCACGACCTTCAGGAACCGCCCCTCATATGTGTCGCTCCGGCAGCAGAAGTAGAAAGTGTCATTCTCGTGGAACCCGCGGGCCCCCGCTCGTTTCACCTCGCAAGTCCTCATAATCATTGGATCGTCCGACATATACTCAGCCACATTACGCTCCTCTATCACCATGCCCTTAACCGCGCCCGTGGGGCGAGACATGACGTGTGAGCGCAGATTGAATGGTAGCGGTATCTGAACAGTTCCCGCTCGCATGCCAAACACTATCGCAATCACACCCTGCGCAGCACAAATGCCTATGGTTTACGGGTGTGTTGTGAAGTGTGAGTGAAGGATGTGTGGTGCGAATGTGGTGTATAATGTGGTCGTGAACGTTATCACGTTAGTCGCGCGTGCTACAATATGGTGCATACCACCTGCGATCACATTCACATTATTGAGACACACGAAATAATAATACCAAAACCTACATGAAGATCCTTACTATGGGGAGAACATATATTTCAGATTTTTTCCTGAAATTTTGGATTTTCAGAAAAAAATTCTGGAAATATTGGATTTTCAGAAAAAAATTCCGGAAATATCGGATTTCCAGAAATATTTTCCGAAAATCCTTGATTTTTCAGAAATATTTTCCGAAAACCTTGGAATTTTCAGATTTTTTTTCTGAAATCCTAGATTTTCAGATTTTTTTCCCGAAAATCATTAGTTTTCAGCAAATATTTCTGAAAAACTGGGCTTGTTTTCAAAATTTTGCTTGAAAACGAATGCAGCTCGGAAATGTTTCTCTGAAGCATTTCTGTGTTGGAATATATGTTGGTGCAATTGGTTTTGCAATGGAAGCACGTTTGAAAACATCATGGAATTCACAATGGAATGCATGTCGAGTATATGTGTACGATGTCTAGCATGTGGTTATGATGTTTCTTGGTGTTGCGTTACTAGCATTAGACGTGCGCGTGTGTATACAGAGAATTCAGGAGCAGCTTAGGATCTTGGGATCGCATCGTGTCGTGGCCTGCGCCTAACCTTTGCCGGGGCAGGGTCGTGTAACGACTACGTGGCGCAAACATGTCAAGATAGTTAGCCTTGTGTATGTGGCCATTGGGGCTCGCTTGGCTTCTGGTGGCTCTCGAAGGTTGCATGGGCCATGGGGCCACGGGGGCGCTCCAAGGGCTTCGCAGGCGGTCCCGAGACTTACCCATGACTGGTTCAGGAGCCCATGAGATCCGCATCGGGATAGGGCTGCCGCTCTAAAACCTTTTCGCGTCTATGCGTGCCCCCCAAAGCCCTCCAAGACTGTTTGATAAAGCTCATGGAAGCCGCCTAAGGGACGTACAGGGCCCCATGCAGATTCAACGACTGGCTCCACAATACATGTTATGAAGCTCTCGGGGGGGGCCATGCGGGCCGAGGGGTGCACGGTGAGATCGACGCAGCGAGATGCGGAGATACGGCAGCATGTTGCTCTGGACTCTGGAGGCTCTGGAAGGTCTTTCGGGGCCACCTTGGGTACCTTGGGTCCTCGAGGATCTCTTGGAACTCATTCGGGCTTCTTTTGGGCTCTCCTTGGACTCCTTGGACCTACAGAGGCTCTCCAGATGATGCAAGAAAGTCTGGGCATCACAGGCGGGCAGCATGCAAACGGCATTGAAACTGCGGTGTTGTAGGACACCGCCCAGAGAAAGGATGACGGCCCTCGCCGTCAAGGAGTGCAGCGGCAGTGATGAGCGGGAGAGCGACTGGACACCCATCTTCCTCCTCACTCCTCCTATCCTCATCCACTCCTCCCTCCACCTCTTGATATATGTCCGTGGCAAGTTTGGCTTAAGCACAATTGCTCGCGCCACCTCCCTGGGGTTCCCAAGCTATGGATACGGCTGGGACTCTGAGATGGGCTTGCGACCCACGTGTTGATGTCTGGATGCCGCACACCAGGCATACACAGCACTGACATGCAAAAAAAACTGTCGCCCGTGACCGCGGGAGGTGGCATGGCAGCACGCACGGCAATACTCACGCCCATCATCACTTTCTGCGCATGCGGCCAGCTCTCAGCTAGCTCCATGAACCTGCATGTCCAACTGGCACTCAGCCAGCTTGAGACTTAGCTCACTCACGCGCGCTATGCAGCATGGCTTCCAGTTTGCCTGGAAACAAAGTCTGGCAGGCAGGACATATCGTAAGTTGTGCTGGGAGCTCCAAAGGGCAAGCGGTGCCAACGTGCCCATCTAAAGTAAAAAAATCATTCCGTGGCTTCACAATCGACTGATACTTCTGGGATGCAAAATAGCCGAGACGGGCCCACTCATCCATCACTAACGCAAGACACTTCGAGTGCCATGACAGCGTGCACAAGGGGCACATGCGCGCTGCTGTGATTGCGCCATCATCGTCGCAAATGCCGCACTTCGTCAGACGGTCGCAGCCCCACATAGGGCCGTTGCATCCTACAAGTCCTTCCCAAATCCGACAGCTGCTAAACTTGCAACAGAAAGGCACAGGCAGATAGGCCCGAACGAGTCCCTACACTTAGTCTACACTTCACTACGGCCAAACCCCCAACCCAACGCCCTCAACCAACCGAGCCCTCGGATGTCTGGCGAAGCCAAATTGACAGAAGCAGTCCTGACTATATCAGTTGGGAGGTTAGGGCGTTCCTTTGCACGCACTTTCTCCATGGAAACGCCGATGGCTGGGTGCACGATCAGTGCCGATCCCAGAGGCTTGGAAGGGTTGCCCATGATGGAGTACTTCACCCTATCCTGTTCGTCGATCCACACAAGCCTTCAAGGCTGCTGTTTTATCATGGTCCTAACCTACACCCCCCACAACTCGCTCATGGCATTCGCATCTGTCCACATGCTATCGCAGTGCGGCTCATGCGACTGCCGGGGGGCACGCACAGCTTCGCACACAGATGCGCACTTAAACCCGATTGCAACCTTCCACTGCGGGTGACCACGTCTGTCCAGGATACATACCCGATGCGCATGTCAAGCCCTGCCGTAGAGTTCGAGGGGGAATGCGCAACCAGAGACAACTCGCCATGTTGCCCAACCTCCCTAGACTTTCGAGCATTGTGAGCATCCGTCAGACATGATAAGCTGTGATGCACGTTGTCAGCCCACATATCAAAGATCAACTTGGATACTGCATCAGGGACCCCAGGCGGTACATCTGGATCCTCAGGCTCTTCCTCTGGCTGGTGCTCTGGGACCTTTGGGACCTCGACCCCGAAAATAGCTTCGTTCAAAGCGGCCTCCCGGAATTCTGGGTCAAATACATGATGATCTTCAGGGGGACCATCAGGGCCGTGCAAAATCCCGTCCTCCCACTTTGCTATATCATGTTCATGGCCTTCCTTACCACCCGCGGCAACATCATCGTCGAAGTTCTCGTCCGCCTCATCCAGATCCTGGCGCAAGTGGGGGAATCAGCACTGCTACTCACTCCTCGTCCTCCTCATCCTCCTTTCCTCCTCTAGAATAGCAAAGACTTCTTCTCCCCCTCTTCTTCCTCCCCCTCCTCCGCCTCCTTCTCCTCCTCTCCTCCTCCTCCTCCTCGCCTTCTCCTCCTCCTAGCCACCTGGGGGGCTGCCCCGACAAAGGAGGGCACTGCGCCCATTTCCTCCCCCATGCCTTGTCGGCATACAGCTTGGCAACTGCGTCCTCCCCGGGGCCCGCTTCCTCGACCGACTCCGACTCATCGCTTCCCAAGGGATCATGCTTTTCAGGTGCTTTTTTCTTCTTTGGGCCCTTTTTCTTGGCCCCTCCTTTGTTATGTTTAAGCTTTGGCACGGCCACCGACATATCGATTACAAGTGCGTCATCTGCACGAGGGGCTAAGCGTCCGATGAAACCTGCAGCCGTCACAGTCCAGGAAAGTACCGCGTGCGTCTTCACAGCGCGCCTTGAAGCAGGACTGTCTTGAAACAAGAGGTAGAGGCTGCCGAGCTCATCCAATAACGCGCAGTGCTCAAAAGGGGCTTCTACAACAACAGTGCGTTCTCCATCTAAAATGCACGCCTGCCCCTTTAAGCCCCACCTGATAGTCCGATTGTGGTCTGCTAGGAAGTACACCGTGCAACCGTCCGTAAGTTCAGAATCGACATCCAAAACAGACATGCACACGTCAATCGAGTCAGGAACACGTCGACTGATGATCAAGTTGTATGTTGCTACCCATCTCTCCAGATCGGGCTCCTTGAGGTCTGGATCAACACTGGCTAAACACGCATGAAGTACATCGTCCTCTGGGACCTGAGCAGGACCTGGTGCGTCCCATCGATCTGCACTGGTTAAAACTTCATTGGCAAGGTCCTCGCATTGGATGCACTCTGATAAGATATAGCTAGCGTTTTCCCGCATTGAGGACCATTTCCGCTTGCCACCACGTGCGCGGTGACACCAAGCATCGCATCATTTGCAACAGCGAGCCCCAGTTTCCAACCAGACATCCTAACCTTCCCAAGGAAGTTGCTCCGCGAAGGAGCTGGCCAGGGCAGTCGTAGTGGCGAAGCCTCCAAGTATAGGTTTGGATTGCCCAGAACATAGGTTGAGAGCATGTGCCATCCCAATGCGGGCGCTAAGTAATGGC